AGGGCCGGGCGGCGCTGGGTGGGCCGGGCGCGCTGCGCCACCGGGGACGCGCCGGGCCCGGTGTTTGGGCGAGCCCTGCGGCACACGCCCACGGGCCGGGCAGGGTCCCTGCCGCTCCCCTGCTCCCCAGAGCGCCGGGCCTGGGCAGCTGCTGACACCGAGCGGGGTCGGGCCGGGGCCTGACCCGCGCCCTCAGCGCCGGGGAGGCCTCCCAGGGGCTGGGACCGCTGTGCCTCAGCTGCGGCGGGGCTGCTCCGGCCCGGAGTAGGGCTGAGGACGGGGGTGGCGGGGGTGCCCCCATAGCGGTGGCAGCTGCTTCTTGCTGCTCACTGGAAGGAGAAAGCACGGGTTAACCGCGCCGCGTTTGTCTGATCGATACTTGCTTTGCTTTCTCTTCTGCGAGCAGCTTACTTGGCGTGCCACCTCTGTTTATTAGGCTAAATGTAAGCGCATGACAGCGGCAGTTGTAACTCCTGTTGTTCTGACCTAGGAAAGCCAAAGGAAGCAAGGAAGAACTTTTTTAGACAGGCTATTTTAACATTAACAGCTTCATTAGAAAAAAAATGTCTTGGTGAGTCCCTTTTCAGGTAAAACAAGCAAAGTTTTAGTTTGTGTCTGTATATACACAGTTCATTTATAAATTTCGTTCATTCATAGTTACATTTCAAATAAAAATTTCATTTATTTAGAAATATAAAATAAAGTTGTTTGGGAAGATGTCCTGAATCCATTTTCAAAAGAAACTGTTTTAACAAACCATATATATTGAGGTCTGTCATTCAAACTTTGATGCAACTCTTCCATCAGTTACTCCTGCCTGTCTTCTGATTCTCTCTGCTCATCAGTAGCTAAGGGTTTTTTGTTTGCTGGATTTGTGCTGGCTTTCTTTACCAGTCTGTAAGTAGGATTTTGTGGTTGGTGTTTCATTTTGGTTTTCTCTCCAGTAATTTAATTAGAATTTTAACATGCTACTGTGTGAAAAATCTCATTCTGATAGTCAACATCTGGTTGAAAGTTTTCAATTTTTTCCACTGTGGTTGCCTTGTCCCTGATAATTACTACCAGTAGCAGCCTTGAAACAACATTGTTTTTATTCTGTAGGCCCACCAAAGAATGGGAGTAAAATTTTAAAAGTAGGAGCAGTGTAATTAATATTTATTTTCATCTGATCCTACATTTAAATTATATTTTAAATTAGATGTGCCTTATTTTTAATGGCAAATGTGGAAGGGAGTTATTCTAGTCAATACTACACTTACTTTCTTTTTCCAAACAATTTGCTTGCTCCCAGCAGACTTGTTAAATTGGTGTGGCTTCCTATTGGCTCTTCACTAAGTTAGCCCCCAAAGTTTGTAAGCACTGTGCCATGGTCTTGTTAGGTACATATTTATTAATAAATAAAGAAACAGCTTCTGTTCTGTTTATGAAAATAGGCTTAGCTCTCTCTTTAAGTACGATGCTGTGTTGCAGCACTTGTGTCTTGCTGCTGCCAAAAGTGAGAGGCTTTGCTTTGTGATGTCCTCTGTTGTAAGAGTTTTTCAGGATCTCTCAATACATTAGCTGAGTATACTAAAGCAGAAGAAGAATATTCTTGTTTTCTTTTCCTGGATTTTTTTCTTCCATTTTAGTGAGTAAAATTACTATAAAGAATTCTGGTGAGTGCTGAAATTCACGCAAGGTAGGAGCCACTTGGGATGGATTGGCATTCCACCCTTGAGGAGTATTCATTATTTATTTTTTATGTGACCAAGCCTGTGATTTATCTAGGCCTGCTCATTTGCTCTTAAAAACATGGGACTCTTTTCTGAAATTTAGTTAGGTCAGTCAAACTTCCTCTTTCCCCTGTATCCTCTTTTGTTATGGAACGTACAGTTCTCATAGGACAATTTTCTTATCTGACTTTCTTATGGAAGAACATAGAAGGCTGTTACTTACATGGGGCATATAGATGTAGCTG